TTTATGGCACTTGCAACACAAAAAGGTCATGTAAGTGCTGAAGATTAAAAGTATTACAAGAGAGTAACAAACATAAAAAAGGAGGAGAGATCAGGACAAAAGAATATTGAATAGGAAAGAAGGAGCAAACCACATCAGCGCACCCACCAACCACCCACATGACCTTATTGTGTGCTAAGTGCGGTAAAACATGTGCTCAAATTAAAAAAACCATGCCCCCAGCCACTGACCTTCACAGGAGATTCCGTCAGCACTCAGCCTCTTCCCCACCGGACACGTGCACTCAAAGCTCTGGTTGTTGGACACCTCTCTACAGCCACCGGCGCACGAGTGACCCGCACAGAGGTCAACGTCTGGGGGAAATAGCGAAAGTTTGGAATATTTGAAGGGCTCAATGGTGCAATCACAAACTGGAATTCCTGACCATGGTGAAATGGCATATTATGGCTACCTCAAAATTACAAAGTTTAATCTGAAATTTTTGGCCATTTTGAATGACTAAGACCATGAGGTCAGAATCCAAATGTACTATCTGATTTATAAAAATTGTAAGATCATTTGGAGTCGTTATCAAGACATTCAAAGAATTGCATTCGAAAAAGCTTGACATGATTTTAAACTCAAAATTTTTCTTGCCAAATTTCTCAAAACTAGGTACTGAGCAAATAGGTTTAACACCCCTATATTATTATCAACATCATAAACTAAACTTCAGAGTTTAACGCCCATCTCCAAAAGGACGGAGCCAGTTGGGAAATTCCTGTAAAGTGTCTTTCCCAAGGACACAATGTCGTACTGAGCTGAGGCTCTAACCCCCAAACCTGTTATCTCACGATTACGAGTCCAGTAACCTAACCACTGGGATACCTAGGCACGCGAATTCATGAGACTATCAATTCAAGAGATTGTAGACTCATAGCTTCATTTCTGTTTGACGTTTGGTTGATTACAAATGGTCTCCCATTCAACTAATAGTAACAATATATAACTACCAGTTAAATCAAAAATAAAGTTATGAGACAACAGGCTTTTGAAATTGATACCCTCACGATTTCCATGAGGTGATAACATTTGATTTTATATTGAACTATTCTGATGGTTCAAAATGAGCAGCAAAAAATGGCTTTGATATGGTGCTGATTGGGCATTTCACGAACACTGGTGTTTTTACCTCAACTCATAAAGATTTCATAAGCTTTCTTTTGGGCGAATTTTTTTCTGGTCACCCTGTTTAATATAAAAGGTATCACTCCCCATTTCTAGTTCTCCATTAGTTTATTTTGGTGGCCGGACCGCCAAATCAAATGTCCTGTTGAACGAGCCAAATTTGTTAAGAGCCTTGAACACTGTATAAAACAACCTGAGTTAAGAACGCCCCTTTGAGGATTCGAACAAGGGTCGTTCACACCGCAGTCAAGTATGATACTGCGAGTTCAATAAGTGTTGCTACCCCAACTGTGTGAAAAAAAAGGTTCACAGTCACAAGTTACTCTGTCTCCTATGCTTATCTCTATGTCAAAAACTCACTCACCGTCACTTAAAGATATTGTATCTGTTGTGTTTTATCTCTATGAAAACTCACTCACCATCACTTTAAGATATTGTATCTGTTGTGTTTTATCTCTATGTCATAAAGTCACTCATATTCAAAGATATTTTGTCAATTGTGTCTATCTCTGTGTCATAAAGTCACTCACCATTACAAGATATTTTGTCAGTTGTGTCAATCTCTGTGTCATAAAGTCACTCACCGTCACTTTAAATTATAGTATTTGTGGAGTTTTATCTCTATGTCAAAAACTCACTCACCTTCCAAGATATTTTGTCAGTTGTGTCTATTTCTGTGTCATAAAGTCACTCACCATCACAAGATATTTTGTCTGCCGTGTTCAATTCTGTGCCTTTCGGACAAAGACACTTCTGAAGTCCACCTACCACAGCGCACTGGTACGTGCAGGAACTGTTGGTGCTGCAGCTTTCTTCAGCTGCGAAAAAAATGGAAAAAAATGATTCACTCACAAATTGTACATAATATGTATAATGACAAAATCAAGTTAAGGAAAAGCCAAAAGTACACTTGTAGGTTTAATGTGAGGCGTTGAGGTTCGTGGTATAGTACAGATTGCAAATTTCATAGAGCTTGTTGTTGAGCGGGAATTTGAGCCACATGAATGCTATATATAAGATTATTATTATTATTACTATTATTATTATTATCATTATTATTATCGTTTTTATTATTATCATTTTCATTATTATTATTATTGTTTTTATTACTATCATCATTCCTATTATTATCACTATTACTATTATTATTATCATTTTTATTACTATTAAAATTATTGCTATTATTATTATCGGGTCTTTTTCTTTCTTTTTTCTGAATTCTTAAAAAAAATATCTCATGTAATGGACTGTGTAGCACTAAAAAGAGAAAGTATTCCATGTTGAATAATGGCCCCAAGCAGGTATTGAGAGCAAACAGGTCAGAAATTCAGACGTTTGTTTGGTTTTTAATCTTACACACAGAATGAGTGGTTTGATTCCCATGTGGGTTTTTTTAAATCGAGTTACTTCGTCGATGTACTAGGACGTTGTTTCCTTCTCAGTCCAGGTTGGCTGTCTGGAAAGGTTTTAGCAGCCTGCTTCCTCATTGGTCGCAGAAATGTTGATGTTGGTGTAAAACACCATTGATTAAAATTCCAGTTGAGCGACGTCGTGGTGAAATCAGGAGCTCGTCAAAATAATTTTTGGCTAAACACCGTTCATGGCAATAAAAAAATGCATTCCTGTGTGGATTTTACTGAAAAAAATTTAATCAAAGGCACAAAAAATGTAATGTGAAAATTATAATGCCATTTTAGCTTTGGAAATCACCAAACTTTAGCAGCCATTTTTTCCATAACAATTTATTTACCCTCTGACACCAGAAACCTATATTTCATTCAATCGTAAATATTTCAGTTTCCATTCAAAGTAGATGGAATTTTTTTTAATCAAAAAGAAAAAAACAAATGAAGGAAGTTTAAGACAATACAAATAAGTCCATATGCCCAAAAATGAAAAGCACCTGGCGATCGGTACAAGCGGAAATTGAAAAAGCGGGGACATCATGGAAACAGATAGAAAAGGATGCTCAGGACAGGCTTTGCTGGAGTAATGTTGTTGATGGCCTGTGCTCCACTGGGAGTTAAAAAAGGGCAAGAGAGAGAGAGACCTGTTTCCACCATATCGTCACACAAACACCCCAAAAATTAACATGCACAACGGGACACAAATATGAGCGCCTGATTTCAATGATTCATGACACAAAATACGAGAGTGCCAGATTCCAACGATTCATGACACAAAATATGTGAGTGCCAGATTCCAACGATTCATAACACAACTATTCAAGGTACATGGCATTTTTTTATCAAAAGAAAAAAACCACTGAACAAGCTTTGACATGACACAAATAAGTCTATATGCCCTAAAAATAATTGATAAGCACCCAATCCTAGGGTGTGTGTCATGACACAATTGCGAGCACCAGATTCCTCCAACGTTTCACAACACAAATGCCAGCGGCAGATTCCTCCAGCATGTTGTGACCCACTTACCCCGACAAGACAAGCCGTCTGAGTTGAGCTTGAGGCCTGTGGGACAGGAGCAGCGGTAACCTCCCGGGACGTTCACACAGTCTCCCTGACACTCGTGCTTCAGGGAACACTCGTCTGTGTCTGCGGCACGAGGGAAAAACAAAATGGCATAAGAAGAATAAAGACAGAAGAAAAACAAAACAACACAAGTGAAATAGCAATAGAAGAAAAACAAAACACCTTAATAGAAATAGCATTAGAAGAAAAACAAAACAATGTAAGAGAAATAGCAATAGAAGAAAAACAAAACATTATAATAGAAAAATAACAATAGAAGAAAAACAAAACATTATAATTTAAAAAATAACAATAGAAGAAAAGCAAAACATTACAAGAGAAATAGCAACAGAAGAAAAACAAAAATTCTTAAGAAAAATAACTATTCAATGATCAGGTGGCGCGGGTTTTGTTATTATTTTTTTAATTCCTCTCTAATTTTGTACAATTTTTTCTGTGAACTCTTTGTTTTCTTTTTCAAAACAAATTTAAGGCAGCTCATGTTCACAAAAATTAAGCTGAAAGGTGCTTGCTATGTAAAGGGTGGGCCCTTTTCTGTCGAACGCAGTAGACCCAAGTTCGATTCCCGAGTGGGAAAGATTTTTATCGAGTATCTTGATCTTTTGCTGGGATATTGTATCTCACTTAGCCCAGGTTCGCCCAATTTCCCCAAAAAGATCAATAAAATAATTATGATTTGTTATTATTATTATTATTATAACCCCAACAATTATACATACTCTCACAAGATTAGTTTGTGTCAAGGCACTGCACAGTGGTGACCAGCAAAGGCATCTTTGAGAAATTGTTCTGCATTGGAGTAATATGGCTTATATGTACGTATTTAAGTAGGTATTTATGTATGCATGTATTTATAATCACGTATTAATGTAAGTATGTTTGCCATTGTAATCCAAATTTCCCCATGGGGATCAATAAAATAAAATATATTAATGCAGTTTTTGGGACACCTGAACAACTAGCTCTCACTGGCAAAATTGAAGGCAAATGAGGCAGGGGTAGGCCCGGAGCAACCTTCTTAGAGAACCTAAACAAATGGGTACCGGGGAAAGATCAGGGAAACGCAGCCGGGTTGGTTTTTTTTAGCATCCGAGGAAAGGAATGAGTGGAGAACCATGATTGCAGATATCTGTCACAGATCTGGCACTGGATGATGATCAGCATCATTATAACCCTAACTATATATGTATCATACATACCCTCACAAGATCTGTTTTGAGTATGAGTAGCTAGCCAGACATACATACCCTTATACAACCTATTTTTTGTATCTACGCGTTTCCCCACCAGTCATACATAACCTTATACGACCTATATTTTGTATATACGTGTTTCCACACCAGTCATACATGAACTCACAAGATCCATTTGTGTATGAGTAGCTAGCCTCGTCAGACATACATACCCTTATACAACCTATATTTTGTATATACGTGTTTCCCCACTAATAATAATAATAATAGATAGCATTTGTATAGCGCATATCCCCACTCAGCAGCAGGCTCTATGCGCTTTACACTATATTATTACCCCAGCAGACCATAGAACACTCCGAAACATTCTCAGCTTCCCGGGAAGCATACAGTGCAAGCAGCCGATTAAGCGCTCAAACACTAACAAACTGACCAGATCTTTCGCTGTCTATAGCCGGGTACCCATTCCCACCTGGGTGAAGTGAGGAAAATTCGTGTAAAGTGCCTTTCCCAAGGACACAACGTCGGGCCCTTGACGGGATTCGAACCCACGACCTTACGGTTGCAAGTCCGAGAGTCTAACCACTAGGCCACCGACGCCACACTAGTCATACATACCCTCACAAGACCCGTTGGTGTAGGTGTAGCCCGGGAAACAGGAGCACCTGAAGGATCCCACAATGTTCTCACAGGCCTGGGGGCAAGTGTTCAGGGCAGGGTCAGCACACTCGTCCACGTCTGAGGATAAAAGTGAGGGGGGGGGGGGGAGAGGGAGGGGGAGAGGAGGGAGAGGGGGGGGGGGGTTCTTTGATTGTAGGTTTACAATTCCATAAATTGCCTGAGTATATTATTTATTTATTCATTTAATTGTTTATTTATTTATTTATTTATTTATTTATTTATTTATTTATTTATTTATTTATCTATATTCGTCCATTCATTTATTCATTCATTCATTTACTCATTCATTTATTTAATTATTCATTCGTTCATTCATTCATTCATTCCTTTATTTATTTATTTATTTATTTATTTATTTATTTATTTATTTGCTTGCTTGGGGGGGGTTTTCTTTTCCTTCATTTGTTTCTTGTGAACATGATTTGTCTTTCTTGATCTTGTTGTTCTTTCTCCTGACAGCATAAGACAGGCACATGTCTATGACTGTGTGTCTTTCACCGCCATCAACACAGTGGTGATGATTTAGGAGTCAGGCTGCTCTGTCCTTTACCAGTCAGTTAAACCGTCTCACAGTGAATGTTCTCTGTCTTTTGAGTTGGTCAGTTGTAATTGAGTGACAACTCTGTACTGCACCTGGTAAATGTATTACGGCACTCACAACTGCATAAAGTCACATGAGCGTGCAGGACTCATAAAACATTTTCAATTTGATATGAATTAATTTTGAATTTTGCTCGATGGCGGCCAATGCCTACTGTTATAAATTTTGGACAACCCAAGGATCTGTAACGAGCGCAACTTGAACACGGGACCTCCATGATTTTTTGCCCTATCTGAGAAGGCTAGGTTTAGATCTTTCCTACCATAAGATCAGGGGTGTGGCTGAAAGACAGCAGTTAGTAGGAACCAAGGAATAGCAGTACAAAGGCTGCAAAAAGAGTCAGAAGCCCAGAGGCAGGGGCAAAGTAGATGAGGGGGTGGGGGCAGAAAGTGGAGATGAAAGCAGATGACAGAACCTGGTTAGAGAACAGGAAAAGAGGTGAAAGGAGAAAACTTTATTGAAGAAAAGTTTTCACATCGCTGTCAGGTTTTGAATCTGGGACCTATAGAATGTGAGGCAAACACCATAACCTCTAGACCAAAAGAGCCCCCGAATAGGCGTTTATTATATTTATTGTTCACAAAAGCAAAAAACATGACGTTGATTCCTGTTCTTGAAAGGTATAAATACTTGATTGATTGTTTGGGGAGGGGGAGCGTGGGGGGGGGGGTTGTATGTGTGTGTGTTTGCTTGTTTGTCATTGTTTGGAGGGGGGTGGTTGCTGTTTTCTTAGTGATCACCAACACTGGTAAATGATCATCATACTGAACACTACAACAAAGATGACAAAGACAGTTTCAAAACAATAACTTACCCACACAATTTCCGTTGTCCAGTTCCAAACCGGGCAGACACTGACACAGTGAGGTGCCGATGAGGTTGACACATTCCTCCGTGGAGCGACACACTCGCAGTCCGCGCTCACACTCATCCACGTCAGTATCGCACAGCTCTCCTGTAGCACACACACACGCAAATACAACACACAAAGGCAAAGCTTGTTATAGGGTTACGATAAAATGGGTTTATGAGTCAAAAAACAAATATTTGCATCTATCTATCTATCTATCTATCTATCTATTTATCTATCTATCAATCTATCTATCTATCTGTCTGTCTGTCTGTCTGTCTGTCTCTCTAATATATCCATCCATCCATCCATCCATCCATCCATCCATCCATCCATCCATCCATCCATCCATCCATCCATCCATCCATCCATCCACCCCTCCCTCCCTCAATTCATCCATCCATCTATCTATCTATCTATACCTGTCACAACACTGAGGAATCAGATGCTTTATGTCAATGTTTCAACTCGTGGAGTCATTGGTATCATCTTAAAATTTGTTTATCATACTTTTGATTTTCTTTTTTATTGTAATCATCTGTCTTAAACAGAAGACATTCAGAACAAGCATGCACAAATCGAAAACATAAATTTGCCTACATGCCATAGTAGAATTGAAAAATCTGTAAGAAAAAGGAAATTATTCTTTTATTTTCAAAGTGATCCAAAACTTCGCTGACACATGCAGGAGACACGAGTTCCATTCCCGAGAACGGAGTATTTTTGTCGAATACCTCAGTATTTCAGCGGAGATGATATTTGTATAAAAATTATTCCACTCAGCTTGAGTCTGTCTTGAACATTCCACGTACTAAATCAAAGCCATTATCGCGTCCATGAAGTAAAAATAGAACCAAGAAAGTGGTGATGGATAGGACACACCTTCAGAAAGCCCAGCGGGAACATCACAAGACAGTCGCAGCAATGGAACCCTCAAGGAGCACGAGGAAGGGGTATGCCACGGGAAACATGGGTGAGATGTGTGGAAAGGGACATGAGAGAGATGAAGCTCACTTGGAAAGAGCTAGGAAGGATGGTCCAGGACAGAGATAAATGGAAGGAGCTTGTATGTGGCCTATACAGGGGTGGACGGCATTGATAATGATGATGATCGCATCCATGCGCATGCTTCATTTCACAGAACTACGACAAACCTTCATATCCATCTTTGCAGACACAGCCTAGCACAGGGTCGCACCGGTCCGCTCCGACAGAACACTTGCACGCCTTGTCGCACTCGATGCCCCAGTAGCCACCTGTGCAGGCTGAGAAAAGGGAACATTCGCAAGGTAGTGCATATGTGAAGCTGTTTAGTAAAGTTTAAATTTCATTGGGGAAGAATAAATTGTGTTTAAAATAAAGGTTATGTATGTAAGTGTATTTATAATATATAGATCTTTATGTCAACTATTGGCATCAGTGGTACGATAATTAGTCTCATTGTCGCTGCACGCAAGAGGCAGGGGAAGCTCGTGGGGCTAAAAAGTGGGCGTGCACAATTATTAAGCTGTCGCAGGCAGAAGATAGTCAAGGGCATAGTGAAAGGGGGGGGGGGGGAGTATAATTTTAGGATCTTTGGGTTGGTGAGGGAGGCCCTCGTGCTTTTATTTTCCTTCTTTTTACTTGTCGCTTTGATTTCTAGAACTTAATTTGTTTTTTAGCAGAACATCAATTTCGTTCATCCTGCATTAGAACTCAATACTGAAGTAATTACTTTCACCACTCCACTACGAAACCATTCAAAGGCACTACTCATAAGATGGTGACTTAAGTATATCACGTTCACCTCCCTCAGGTTCACGGTCACAGAGTCACTTAAAATAGTGGCAAGACAATGAACCAATCACAATTCACTTGAGCATTCCCTTGAATTGCTCCAGGGCTCACATAATTATTTTAGACTGCCTACTGTGGACTATGTTTCGGCACTATTCGACAGGAGCACATTTGAGATGTGCCATCTTATTAATATTAATGTACCGCCAAACTTGGTACGAGTGTCGTCATCGCTTGGGTTATCCCAAAGAGTGATTTATAGATCAGGTTACCACTGTTGACTAATACCCTATTATGCCAAGTTAAACAATGTGGACTTTGGCATGGCATAGTAGATGTTTTACGGCACTATAGACACAGAAATGGATATAACATGTAGCTAGTGTCTGTTTCTGGCTTCTTATATTTTATTATTGTGGGTGTTTTACGTAATAAAACATTTTTAAAATGTGGACGGCACTGCACGACCGCGCTCTATGGACGAACCACGCCTGGCAAGAGGCATGAGTTGAATTCCCAGGAGTGGGAATCTTTCCTATTGAGTACCTTCGTCTATCTGTAGGGAGTCTGTACCCCACTCAGCCGGGAATGAGACAGCCAGTCTCCTGAATGATCTAAGATCAAAGATGTGTCAATCCAGACAGAACAGGTTTATAAGCACTCCTCTCGACAGTTTTACAAAGAGTTTTACAGCACTTGCAACATAATTAGGCCATGTAAGTGCTGAAGATTAGAGATTTTTATTTTAGTTTTCATATTTTTACACTTTTGAAAATATATATGGAGTAAAATATGAGTAAAAGAATAAAGATAGAGGTGAATTTTTTTTATAATTATTATTTCAAAAATATAAAATATTAACGCAATATCCAGATTGCCGCTCAATTAAGCGATCGTTAAAACGTGCAGATTGCTCGTAACATGTTTTTACAATAATAACAGGAGAGCCAAAAATCTGAATGTTGTTACCAGGAAAACCAACTCTTTGCAAACATCCTTAGTCAATATTTTTAAGAATGCAATTTTGATATCATTAGCATTTCCTTATTATCTTTCAATCGAAGGATGTTGAGGGGGGTTTTTTGTCAACAACATTTAGATTTAGTTTTTTGGCTATCCTTTATAATTGAAAAAATTGTACAGATTTTACTTTTTAAAATGACTGCAGAGATTGATGAGGATGATAGATATTGATGGAAAACAAGGAGCAAACCACACCAGAGCATGCACCAACCACCTACGACCTCTCGACACACCCGTTATGCAGTGTTCAGCTCAAAGACGTTCCAGAAAGTCTCCTCACCTATACAAGATCGTCCATCGTTGTCGAGTTTTTTGCCAGCCGGACATGCACACTTGAACGAGCCCTCCGTGTTGTTGCAGCCAGACTTGTAGCTGCACAGGTTCAGGTGATCATACTTGGGGTCACACTCGTTGATGTCTGGAACAGCACAACCACCCAGAACTTGTTAGATAAGGTTGTGGGGGTTTGTTTGTTTGGTGGTTTTGTTTGTTTGTTTGTTTGCTTCTTTCTTTCTTTCTTCGTGTATTTATCCGTTTGTTCATTTTATTTATTTATCTATTTATTTATTCGTTTGTTTGTTTGTTTGTTTGTCTGTTTGTAAGTTTGTTTGTTTTGTGTTTGTTTTTGTGTATTTATGTTTAAAAAATATCTATTTATTTATTCATTTATTTATTCATTTATTATTGATTTATCTATTTAATCATTTATTCGTGTATTAATTCATTCATTTATTTGTATATTTATTCCATTATCTCTATTTTTTGGGAAGAGGGGTGTTAGTTATAGTAAGATCTGGATAGCATTTGCAACATAAATAGGTCATATAAGCTCCAGAGATTACAGGTGTTACAAGAGAGTAACATACAAAGAAAAGAAGGAGGAGAGATAAGTTTAGTTTAATTTTAATAAGGTTTTACAGTGCTCGCAGCTGCATAAGGTCATATGAGCGCCAAGAGGAGGATATCAACAGAGAAGTCCAAATGGGGAATCAGGCTTAGACACTCTGCACACCTCTCTAGCCTCAACAGCATGAAATCTGCTTTGACTATCAAGGCACCCCAGTTCACAACAGAGTGACAAACATACCTAATAAGTAGAGGAAAAATGACGATAATACGGATGAGGGGAAAAAAGGAGCAGTTTCCCCCTATGTTGTTTCGGCACAGTATGAGCATGACATAAATAAATCAACCTATTTCAATTCTACAGTGCTGAAGAGCATGTTTATATCCCCCCTTTGGGAATGGATAAAAGACATTTCAGTTAGTAGCACTGCCCTGAAAGGGGGGGGGAGGAGAGATAAAAATGACAGGTGCTTAATTCTAATTTCAAAGAAAGTGCAAACCAGCTGACAACAATGTGTACAGATCTCATTGCCCAAGATCTGCAAACAGACAAACAGATTGACAGGAACACAAAAACAGCAGGGTATTAGGAGGACAGACTACTATATTTACAGTACCTCCACACATACATGCCCAGTTAGCTGAAAATTAGAGGCGTTACTAGAGAGTAACATAGAAAGAATAGAAGTAGCAGAGATAAGAACGAAAAATGTTTGATAGGAAAAGAAGGAGCAAACCACACCAGAACACCTATCAGCCAGCAATATTTATGATTCCAAAAATAAAAAATAGCATAATTAAAATATTAAAAAATAAATAAATAAATAAACAAATAAGTAAATACAAATGGAAATAAAATAACCTCCCCCGGGAAAAAAAACAAAAAATAAAAGCAGCAGACAAAAAACAAAACAGAACCCACTTACCTTGGCAGTCGATCGCAGTGGTCAGTTCATAGCCACTGTTGCAGCCACAGGCAGCAGTACCATCAGAGTCCGGCTTACAGAAGTGCTGGCAGGTCAGGTTGGCCTCGGCACACAAGTCTTCCTCTGAACAGTGCACCGGGGAGGTCACATTATATGTTGTAGCAGTTCTATCTTAGCGAGAGAGTGAACGGGAGAAAGAAGGGGAGGGAAAGGGAGGGGGGTACAGAGACAGAGAGAGAAAGAGAGAGAGAGAGAGAGAGAGAGAGAGAGAGAGAGAGAGAGAGAGAGAGAGAGAGAGAGAGGGGGGGGGGAAGAGGGAGAGAGAGTGAGAGGAAGAAAGATGAAGAGAGTGAGAGAGAAGGGGGAGTGAGAGAGGGGGAGAGAAAGAGAGGGAGATAGATAGATAGAAAAAGAGAAAGAGAGAAAAGGAAGTATAAGATTGCTCTGCTTCCATGAATATGGCTAAGATCGAGTCCAAGCTTGAAGTCTTACTGAAACATAGATCTATAATGAGCACGAAGCAACAAAAGCACAATACCCATCAGCCTTGATTGTTGGGAAATGGTGGAGGTCTAAAGCACATCTGACATTTTATTTCTCATAACCCATATTATAACACCCTGAAGGTAAATGGGTGCTACCAGAAAACTAAACCCCAACACATTTTTCCGTAGCCCATCACCCTCTCCTCCCCCCCCCACCCCCCAAAAGAAAAAAAACACCCGCAAATTATCATTACCAGAATGCATTATACGTAGGCCTAGTGAAATACTAAGTATTGAAATTCAGTTGGCGTAAAAGAGATGATAATAATATATCGTATCTTAAACCATGTAGACCTATATCTAGAGTCTATAGAACCGATATCAACCTCACAGACTTCTGTTATACACATTATGTGAGATTCATTTCTTTACCTCATCTGTATACATGTATCTGCTCTTCCCATGTCCCATGTTGTAAAGTAGAGTAATCATGATGTAACATTATAAGTAGCACTTTCAGTATTCCATAACGAGTACTGTAATGGTTAGTCTGTCGGTGTCTTTGAGAGCAAGAAAAGAGCAACACACACACACACACACACACACAAGAGAAACAAAAAAGATATCTAGCATACGGCAGCACAAGTCACAATCATGTAAAGTTTAAGTATTATATTAAACTCTGGAAAACAACCCGAGAAGTTGTTTAATTTATTAATGTTTAATGTTGTTGGTGATCTTGGACTGTTCGCAAATAGAATACATAACATCCCAAACTACAGGATCTCCTATGTCAAGCTCTTCCTCCCAGCTCAACAACAGACAGTACACCACATATAGCCTACTGCAGCATACAACTTTTGAAGACCTCCATCTTTGTTAACATGGTATTGGGTGCAAGACACATGCTCAAAGGCTTCCGGATTAATAACAAAAACAACGAAAACAACATCAGCAAAAAACAACAATAACAACAATAAGAACAACAAGAACAACAATGACAACAAAATCAACTACAGGAATAACAACAACAATAAGAACAGCAACAACCACAACAACAAGTACAACAGCAACAACAACAATAATAATAATAATAATAAATAAATGACATTTATATAGCGCTCAACCCTGATTAAAGTACACAGGCTCAGAGCGCTTTACAATACAGTACAACGCACAGCAGTAACATAAAACATTGTGTTCTGACTAAATAGGCGAATAACTTTAGCTGTGCATTACACAATGGGGGTAAAAAAAACAAACAAGAACAACAACAACAACAACAACAACAACAACAACAACAAAATCCGGCGGTAGGCATCTCTTCGGGGAGGATTCAACGAGGTTTTACTGCCTCACCCATTACCCAAGGAAGGCGGCGGCCCTGGCGAAGAGCACGCTCTTCGGGGCTCCAGAAATTTCGAACGGATAGGCTACCACACACACACACAACAACAACAAGTACAACAACAAGTAAACAACAACAACAACAGCAACAATAACAACAACCCCTCTATCCTTCTTGACAGATGTCCCATAACCGTTGCGTCACCCCTCATGTTGCCCCCCCCCCCTCCCCCGCCTCACCTAGCACGCAGCTGGCTCTGTCCTGGCTCAGCCGGTAGCCAACCACACAGCGACAGTTGTAGGAGCCCACCGTGTTCACACACTCCTGCTCACAGCCCGCCGCCTTAGAGGTGCACTCGTCAACATCTGGAGGGGAATCAGAATCATCATCATCATCATTATAATAATGATAATAATGATTATAAAATAAAATGATAAAAATAATAATAATAATAATAATAATAATAATAATAATAATAATAATAATAGTAGTAGTAGTAACAATATTAATAATAATAATAATAATAATAATAATAATAATAACCATCATCATCATCATCAACATCATCATCATCATCATCATCAGAGCTTCACTGATGGATCGGCTGTCGCAGGATAACGTAAAGGTGGAGCAGCAGCAGTGGTGATAATGAATGATGAACCACCGTGAACAGAAATCATTAAAACTAAAGGTGCATTCCTTACATCATCTTATGACGAGGAATGCCAGGCAACGATGTCTGCTGCACAATGGATTGCCGACAATTGCCACAGTAGAACCAAATGTGCTGATCTTGACTGACAGTCAATCCCTCTGCAAAGGACTGCTAGGCAACAGCTCGGACATAAAAGATTTGCGCCGCAAGTTCAGTGAAGCCACAGCCACAATAAAAATCCAGTGGATTCCAAGCCATGTTGGAATCAAACGAACTGAGGCAGCAGACCAAACTGCTAATGAAGCCACAGAGATGGAAGGAGACAGACGACCAACAACATACAAACGAGTCTGTCCAATGATCAAGAGGGAAATCAGAGACCCTCTATGCAGAGCTAAGTACCAGCACCTGGAAGATGTGTCCTATGGGTACTCCAATAAGCGTGAACAAAATATCACATGTCGCTGGGACCAGGTTGAGCTAGCGAGACCGCGGTCGGACCATCATTGGAGCTAGAGATGGTATAAAAACTTTGTAAATGAAGAGCTCAGCCCATATTGCTGAAGATGCGGCCATGAAAAGGAGGATGTCAAACATATGTTTGAATGTCCAGGAACAATGGCAATTCGAATGGAGTTATTTGGATGAGTGCAGGTGCCTCTAAGCATATTGACAATGGAGCCGAAAAAGAGCCTCGCTCTTGCTCGAAGATTTCTTCATGGAGTCCCCCAGGCCCATTAAGGAAACAAATTTTTTTTAATGATCATCATCATCATCATCTTCATCATAGTTTAGTTTTAGTAAGGTTTTAGGGAACTCGCAACTGAATACGGTCGTACGAGCGCCAAAGAGTGGATGTCAACTGAGAAGTCCAAATGGGGAATCAGGTTTACTCTGCTCACCTCTCTAGCCTCAACTGCACAAAGTCTGCATTGACTATCAAGGCACCCCAGAAAT